GGCCGTCTGTGGGTGTGCGGGGTCGGGCCCCGCGGCCGGCGTGACCCTCGGTGCGCGGCTCCCGCAGGCGTTCCGCGTGGACGTGATCCGTGAGGAAGGGGACACCCTGGAGTTCGACATGGTGGGCATCGACGCCGCCATCGCCAACGCCTTCCGCCGCATCCTGCTCGCCGAGGTACCGCCGCTCCGGGCGTGCTCACCTGGGCTGCCGGCTTAAGACTTGCTTGACAGGGAGCGGGGAATGTCCGGCCTTGTGTCAGCCCTTGCGGACGGCTGCGGGTTTTGGAAGAGAAGCACACGTTCGTTCCGCACGTGTGCCGGGAGCCCGAAGAGAATCAGGGCTTTAGCAGCACGGGCGATACCGCCTACTGGTCTTAGGGGTGCTGCTGGTAGTGTCTGCCGGTCAGCCTTTTCGACACAGCTGTGGTACCAACCAAAAAGAAGCCACATAATGCTGCCAAGTACTAAAAGGTTGAGGATGCTTTAAAGCCCTTTCTGCTGCCCTTCACCTCTTTTGATTGATTGTTAAAAAAACGGGGATGGGAGTAGACGAGGTGTAAGGATATATTGCATAGCCTGATTTGGCAGGAATACCACTCAAAATAGTCTGCATGGCAGGTACTTGTGGGAGAGGAGGGACACTTAAGCTGGATAATGTCTTGGCTTGTAGTTCAACTATTGTCTTAGGCTGACTTGATCTCTTGTCTCCATGAGGTGCCAACGATGGCTGTAGAGAAGGTCTTTGTGTACAACAACACATCCATTGTGCAGGATGAAATTCTGGCTCATCGGTTGGGCCTCATCCCTATCCGAGCTGACCCTCGGCTCTTTGAGTACAGAAACCAAGGTGAGAGTCTTGGATAGAATATTGAAGGTTCCTCTCAAACTAGTAATTCAGGGTCGTGTAAACTGACTAGAAGTGTTATTTCATGTGCTTCTTCCCAGGAGATCAGGAAGGCACTGAAATTGATACTCTGCAGTTTCAGCTGAAAATCAAATGCAAACGAAACCCTCAGGCTGCCAAGGAATCATCTGATCCTGATGAACTATATTTCAATCATAAAGGTGAGATTTCTCCTAAAAATAGGTGCTTTCCATTTTGGTCTTGGAAGACAGGACTTAGGCTGTTTTCTCAGCCTTATGTGCTCACAGGGAAAGTTGATTCCATTCTGCTAAACTTTTTGCTATCTCCAGTCCTGTACAGGTGAGTGACCTGCTTTGAGGCAGCAGCTGGCTGATGCTTGTGGCTTCTCTTTGCAGTGTACAGTAAACACATGACGTGGGTGCCCCTGGGGAATCAGACAGACCTCTTTCCAGATGCTGACTTCCGACCTGTTCACGATGACATCCTCATTGCACTGTTGCGACCCGGACAGGAAATAGATGTGCTTATGCATTGTGTCAAGGGTATAGGTGAGTCGTGCCTCCTGGAGCAGCGGGACAAGGAATGTGAGTGCTTGGACTAGGGTACTGCGGTGTGATGGGGAAGGGTGGAGAATTGGCTTTTCCCCTGGAGCTTTAGGCCCCAGAATCCTTGTTCCCTGAGGCCTGCTCTCATCCTTGACTCTTAACTCTTCATACAGGTAAGGATCATGCCAAGTTTTCTCCTGTGGCCACAGCCAGTTATCGACTGCTTCCTGACATTACTCTCCTGCAGCCTATTGAGGATGAGGCAGCTGAGACATTACAGAAGTGCTTTTCCCCTGGGGTCATTGAGATCCAGAATATCAATGGTACTTTTTTCCTGTGCTAAGTTCCTTGCGAGCTTTAGTTTAGAGACTGATTGGAGGTTGGAGCCAAACCTTTGCAGAGACAAAACCACATTGTGATGTTGCCTTGCTGATCAGTGGTTCGTGCTCTTCTGAGCCTGGTTTTATGGATGAGTGGTTACCACGTGCAGACGTGTTGGGTGATGAACGGGGATGTCCCTGAAATGCATTGCATACCTGGCCACAGAGCCCTGCAGCTGCTGACTGCAGCTTCCAGCGCTGTTCAGTTTTGACACTGGGTAGCGAGCTTGCTCTTTCCACAGCTGAGTGTGGAGACTTCTTGTGTCCTTCCAGGGGTGCCTGTAGGCTTCGTGTCTTGGGTTTTTCTTCCAGGTTGGATTTTCATGTTGGGTATAGGCTAATTCTTTATATTGGTGTCTTCCCTGCCTTTGGTGAGGGGGGAGTGCCTGTTTGAGCTAAGCATGTACTGTGACCGTAAGGCTGACCTGCTGCAATTTGCCCACCTTGTTTCATCTCCCTTTTAGGAAAAAGGGTGGCAAGAGTAGCCAATGCACGGCTGGACACATTCAGCAGAGAAGTTTTCCGACATGAGGGTCTGAAAAACCTTGTGCGCCTGGCAAGAGTACGGAACCATTACATCTGTAAGTGCCCCATTTTCCAGAGTCCTGACGTGGTTTGTGTGAACAAGCAGCGACTGGCCAGCACGTGTGGCTGGCTCTGTGCCTCTCCCTACCCTCAGCATCCATACATCCAAAAGGCAGTGGGTAACTCCTTGCTTTGGGATTGAATCTTGGTGCTTTCTGCTGGCAAAGGTAGCCGCTTCTCTGGCTGTGAAGATCTGGCTTGTTGCAGTGAGGTGTAAGGGAAGGTGAGGGACGGAAGCATGGAGCCAGGTGCATGGAGGCTGAGGCTGCCCTGTGGCTGTGCTGACTTGTGTCTGTGTCTCCGTGCAGTTTCAGTGGAGTCGACAGGTATCTTACCTCCAGATGTGCTGGTGAGTGAAGCCATCAAGATCCTGATGGGAAAGTGTCAGCGCTTCCTCAATGAGCTGGACTCTGTGCCTATGGAGTGACCAGGCTGTAGCTGGGAAAGCAGAAACCTGCACTGCTGTTCTGGGCTTCCTGCACCTGCCTCGATGGGGGATTCCTCTTCCATAGGCAGAAGGCTTGAGAGCGGTTTGCCAAGAATCCAAGGACTATCTCTTTGGATTTTTCTGTTGGTAATGAGCCTCAGTGAGGAGATGCACTAAAATAAAGGCTTTTTTTTTTAAAAAAAAAAAGCTGTGTCCTGTGCCATTCACAATTGTGAAACCAAAACCATCATACATGGAAGAAGTGGCAGCAGGTCTAAGGATGGCTAACAGCATTTATTTTAGATGGTATGCCGTGAGTGAGGAGGACTGATGGGGTGGTGTAGTAAAGCACTTCACAGCAGGTCAGTGAGGTTTAAAGAGTTGGCATAAGGGCACGGCTGTTTTGCAGGTGTTTCAGACCAGCTCTGGGATAGTTAATATGGTAGAGAAAAGGCTGTACTATTAGAGGACTGGAACACCTCTCCTATGAAAAAATTGAGAGAGAGCTGTGATTGTTCAGTTCAGCCTGGAGAACAAGAAAGCTCCAGGGAGGCCCCATTCTGGCCTTTCAGTATATAAAGGGGGCATGGAGAAAGACTTTACCAGGGTCTGTAGTGACAGGCTAAAGGCCAACAGTTTTGAACTGGAAGAAGGTAGACTTACATTGAACGTCAGGTATTTTTTACAATGAAGGTGGAGGTAAGTTGTCACAGGTTTCCCACAGCTGCGAATGCCCCATCCCTGAAGTGTTCAAGGCCAGGTTAGATGAGGCGTTGAGCAACGTGGTTAAGAGTTGAAAATGGGAGTACTGGTGTGTCTCAGTTTCTGAAGTCAATCCATGCTATAGTGCTAGACTTCAGTCTAGTTCTACATTCTGCTAAGTAAGTCGAATCAAAGTTTCCCTGGGGTAGAATTACTTAAGAGTGTAAACATCCTGTTAGGGTGAATATGCTGTAGGGAGAAGGCACACTTGGCATCCTGGCTCCAACCCAAATCTATCCCATGCCATGCTGCAGACCCAGGTATATACTGCATGTGCATGTCACCCATTATCACTGTCTACCCATCCATAACTATCCATCCATCCACCTCTGTGCTACTTGCGTCACATGCTTATGGGATGGGCCCTTGAAAAGTCTTAAGGTTTTGCTTTGACAATACACATCCCTCAAGCTGTAAGCTGGGACCTAGAATTAAAATAAACTATCAGTGAGTCACAAATTAATACCTCAAAAATGCAATTTCCCCCTCACCTAATTAAACTATATAGTCTGGAATGGTTCATCCCCTGACAGTGTATACACCACCAGCAAAGGTGCTCCCTTTTTGGTAGCTGGAATAAGGGATACTGTGAAATCTCCAGGAGGGCAGTCTGGCCAGACCAGAGGCCTCAGATCTTACTGAAACAGATAAAAGAATAAAAATGAAACATGACACCATGTGTATGAAACTGGAATAGCTTTACTGACATTCAGGTGTAACACAACCAGTTCAGAGACGGCTTTGGATTTAAACATTCCTACAAAAAAGGTTTAAAATCCATTTTACAAAAACCCCTTGTGTCTAGCATGAAGTCACAGAATGTTAAAAATATCACAACACAATAAATACACCCAGCCTTTGCTAGAGCCAGGAGCCATGTTAGCTCAGAGGTTAAAAAAGTTTGAGGCTAGGAAGAAAATGGAGGGTGCTGGTAGAACAGCAGGGGCAGGAGGGTGAGTGGATGCCCAAGGCCTGCTCTTCCTATCTGCACTCCCATGCCTCCCAACCCCAGCCTTTTTGTCCAGTCTGTCCATGTGGAGACACCACTTCACCTACCAGAGCTTATTACTTGTTCTGTCTCCTGGATGGCAAAACTGCCAGCTAGGTCTGGACAGACCCTCTGAGCGCCTGCGCTAACTCTAGGATAGATTGTGTAGTATTTGTCATGTAAGAAGAACCAGCTTTGCACACTGGAGTGGCTTTGTAAGAGTCCCACCACATCTAAAACCCAGTTTCTGACCTGGCTCTCCCCTGTAAACTGCATATAAAGCCCACCCCTCCTGCCCCACCATGCAATTCTCCGAGAAGTACCAGACTGGGTAAAAACGGGTGTACCAGACTGGGTAAAAACGGGTTACTGTCACCTCCACTGCAACAGGGCGAGGAGCTCCCTTCTGGATTGCAGGTGCTTCAGGTATTGGTCCAGATTTTATTTACCCTGCGCTGGCCAAGTTCTAGTCTACAGGGCATGGTAAAATGAAAAAAAAAAAGAAAAAGAAAAAAAGAAAAACCAAAAGAAAACAGTATGTCCTGCTCCCCCTGAGAGATGTCCAAGAAAGGCTGGCACAAAGTAAAAGAAAAAAAGAAAAACCAAAAGAAAACAGTATGTCCTGCTCCCCCTGAGAGATGTCCAAGAAAGGCTGGCACAAAGTAAAAGCCTTCCATTTGGCTCTGGGTAGAACAAGCTGTATGATCGTATCTGTACATATATATGTATATATATGACAGTCTCTGCCTCTTTCTAGAGAGCAGTTGCACCTTAGAAAGGCTGATCTCACAGGAGATCCTAGAGCACTGCTAGGCTTCCTGGCACGCAGCCCTCAGCCCAAGGCTCAGCATCCTGGAGGGAAATGGGTTCAGCAGAATTCCAGTCTGCAAGGGACGAGTGCTGATAAGCGTGACAGGAGTGTCCGATGTGTTCCCTACAAAGCCTGGCTACTAGCACCCAGAGGAAGATTAGGGTAGCCCCTTTTCACATGGCACACTACTCTGCCGTTTGCATTAATCCTAAACCCCAAGGGATGAAGAGGTGGAGCAAGAGTGACCCGAGGCTACAAGATGATCAGGCTTTACCCTAAAGAGGTCTATGGACTCAGCTCCCACCCTGCAGAGAAGCAGAGGTCTAAAGATGCTCATCCAATGAAGGGGAAAGAGTCAGGGGAAGAGCTTAATATTGACTGGTTCAAATGCCACCGCAGGCCCCATCCCAGTGTATGGAAGAGAAGGGGACAGGACCCGTCAGGGGCTTTATTCAGACGAATGCTTGTGGAGGCGGTGACAAGGAGAATCTAATGTGCTTACTATGAGGAGAGACAAATTTTCAGGTAAGGGAGGAGATGGCTGCAGCATCCCAGGCTCAGGGCTCGAAGAGTACATTGAAGCCCTCTCCATCCTCGTTTTCTAGCACATCTGTCTCCAGTGATGGCTTCACCTTTTTGAAGAGAGATGGAAGGTTCCGGATATGAACCTCCTTGCGGAACTGCTCCCCAATGGGCTTCTGCAGAGGACAGACAGGCAGGCATCAGTCACTGTTCATACCCCCGCTCAGCTCAGGGGCAGCTTCTTGCACAGCAGATGCAGAACGCAGGTTCTGAGCAATCCCTAAGCCCAGACCCCGTACTTGCATTTTGAGGAATGTCAGGCCTGGCCTTTCCCAAGTGCCAGGGCACTGAGGTAACTTTTAAAATACCAGCTCCCCAGCTTCTAATTCAATGTCCAAGGCTTCACCACCACCATCCTCATGGAAGTCCAATGCCCACCCAGCAACTTCAATCAAACATTTTAGCACCCCGTTTCCCCAGGCACCTTTGTGCAAGGTGCTTGCTGCCTCTCAATGAGAGGCCATTGCTGGAGGGGCTGCTCAGTCTGCTGGATCCTGGGGTGAAGAGAGGCAGAACAAACACTAAACATGCTGCTACAGCCTCCTGGCTGGGAAGGGGGGTGGCTGATGAGAGGAGGCAGGTCAGCCACCCCATCACTTCTGCAGCGTACAGCTGTGAAATCTTCCTCCAGGGTATCACTTACCCCAATGCAACCTGAGATGAGGCGCTTGAAGTGATCCTTCCGGCGCTTGTCGGCCACCTTCTGCAGTGTTGGGTTGAGAAGCTTTGAATCAAACTGCTCCAAAGAGTCCAGCTGGATGTCTGGGATCTGCTCCATCACTGCCTTCAGCTCACCATAGCGAGGGCGCTGCATGGAGAAGTACCATTAACCCAGCTCTGCCAGAGTAACAGCCTTGCCCTCCTTGGGGGCCATGCTCTCCCCTGCCCCTACCCACTGGGTATGGGATTAGTTTTCACCATTCCCCTTACATTCCTCAACCTCACATTTGGATGAAGAACAGAATTTCTCACCAAGGCCTCGTAGATCTGGAAAGCCAGGTGGACAAGAGCTGCCATGCAGCCATCGTGTTGCCCATGTACCTGTAAGCCCTTCAGCACACTTGTGAAAAACCAGGACACAGCATCGGGAAGGAGGTTTCCTGGAAGCACCTGGGGAAGAAGCACTGTCAGCACTGAAGCAAGAAACTGGTACGCAGCCACCTTTCTGCAACAGCTTGCTCTTCCTGAGGGAGAAGGTGCCCAGGGGTGAGGCAGCCACGCTTCTCACAATATTCAGACCCTGCCAGAACTAATCCCTTCTTCCTCCCACAGGTACCTGTTTGAGTAGTGGCCAGCAAAGCTGTGTTGTGGTTCTTTGGCAGGACAAGGTGTCCTTCCAGGACAGGGATGTGTAGGCAGTGATCAGCACTGCAGTGCAAACATCCTGAAAAGGAGTCAGGAAAACCAGTCAGAGGAACTATTTCTTACTTCCAGCATTCAAACCTGATGGTATCCAAGAAGGAATTCAGAGAATCTGCAGGAGCTTCTGAGAATCCTGCATCTTACTGTTGCTCCAGCAGAAGGTTTTCACCCAGGGTGCACCCTGAGGGATCAGTGCTAAGTTAACCTGTTCCCTTCATCTCCCTGGAACAGATCCCAGAGCGCTCATGGACTCCCCTCAGCTGCTACTCTCAAATCACTGCAAAAGCTTCTAGAAGAGCTTCCAAGGCATCCACAGCAGAGAGTACAGGAATACTGGGATAAAAGTACTCTGCACAATGGATGGTATTAGCACTGTAGCTCCTGTACCACCTCAGGCAGATTTTACAGAAAAAAAAATAAATGGATGAAGTTCTTCCTCATGAAGACTGGGGCCCAGGATGAAGGCAGAGCCAGGGAGCTGAATGCCCAGGACCTCTTCCCCAGATGGGCTGAAGCTCTGTAGCCATGTGATACAACTGGATCCCAACCCCCATTTGCTTTGTGGCTTCTGCAAGGCCCTTAAAAGCCATGCATATTCCCAAGAGCTTATTCCCGCAAGGGGAATGCTCCAGCAGCCTAGATCTCTGCAGCACTGTTTGGCTGCAGAGCAGACACGTGTGACAAAGAGTACAGAGAAAGGATGGTGGCAGTCAGAGCACATGCTCTTACCTCTTGCTTCATCAGACACTTGCCAAGCTCGGTGAGCTCTGCGTTGGCAGGGGGAGTCACCTCCGTGGCCATCGCCTCATCATCTGCAGAGCAAAGGCTGCACTGTGCATGTGGCCTCCCAAGGACTGAGGGGACACAGGGGGGCTACAAGAACTAAGCTGGGAGCCAGAAGACAGCACACAGCATCAGTGTCCTGGCACAGCTTACCCAGAACATCTCTTTTCAAGCAAAAAGCAACCATCCTTTGTGGGGCAGGAGGGGCATGCAACTGGCTACCTTCAGCTCTTGGGAAACTGTTCACAACCCCTCTGCTCCTCAGCCCACTTCTCAGAACCTTAAGAACCAGCTGCTCCAACGTGCCACCCATGAACAGCACATTAGTTTCCAGGCTAGACTGGGTTTTTCTGTGGCCCCCAGACACGCTGGGCAGGACAGAGGTGAAGGCTTCTTACCAAACCTATACCACTGACACAGAACCTCCAGCATCAGCCCAGCCTCCCCCTCAAGAAACAGGAAAGGAACAGCATTTGTGTACACCAAGGGCAGGAAAGGCAAAGGCAGGCATTTACTTACCATCTCCATCTACAGCAGCAGTAGTGTTCTGTTCAACACCTTTCTTAGAAACACAGCAAACAGCTGCAAAAACAGTTGCAGGTCAGAGGAGCAGAAAAGGGAAGATGCTACTGCAGAATATGCAGAGATTAACCTACAGACTCTGGTGGGCTCACAGGTGCTTCAAGCTCCCCAGCTCTTACAGGGAATCTGAAGAATCAGAAAGCCCAGTATAAAAAGCTCAATACTGCACTACCTGGAAGGCTGTCACACCTCACCCACAGCACCTTCCCACAGTGGAACCTGCTGCACAATGGTTGCTTCTGACTACAGAGAAGCAGGAATGTGCAAAACCATCTGAAGCCCATAATCCAAGAAGAACACTGATTTAAAGCAAAAGGCCAGTTGAGAAAGGAGACAGAAGACAAAGCTGTGATCTCTGTGGAATCAATTTCCCCAGCCTTCCTGCACAAAGCCACGCAGACACAAAAATGATGTTGGAGAAGGGGAACACAAGGGAGTCTGCTCTGGGGGAGGGACTCTTCCCTTATGTCTGGTTAGAGACATGGCAATTACCAACAACAAAACTGCTCTACACTTGGCTTGTCCATAAATCCATGTCCCATACTGGGTTCCAAAGCGCAGAATGGGAGAAGCCAATTCCCTGTAGGACTGGATTCTTACAGGAACAGTGCCAAAACCATGGAGCCCTGAAAGCTAACAAAAGGAAGAATCTCTCTTTTGAAAGTTTTAAATTATCTTTTACTATGTTTTAGCTAAGATTTTGGCCGGGCTGTCTCACATCTGCCTTCTCATGGTTATCTTATATACTACTGATGGTTATAATTAAATTTTACTGCACACTGGAATTCCTGTTGGCCTTTCCAGGGAAAACTTCCCAAATATCTCAGGAGATCTAGCCTGATTTCACTTACTGGCGAGATCCATGACTTCTCGAGTTAGCAGCCTGACCAGCTGTTCCTCAAGCATCTCCTGAGACTCGGGGTTGTCATCTGCAGCATCATCCTCACTGAGGAGAACAGGTTTTAGTCTGACAGGAGCCAATGTCATCAAGCACCCCCTCCACCCAAACACAGGGAATGAGTCACCAGTGTATCTTCCAGCCCTTGCTGGCAGGGCTGTATCTGGGCAAAGTGCCACGTAAAAGACCAAATCTCCATCCCATTCCCCATTTCCCTCTTTGTACCAAGGGGTGGAAGCTTACCAGAGCATGCTTCGCTGGTTGATCACCTGCCATTTCTGGGACAACCTCTGTTCAAGACAAAAGGAAAGATTAAATCTGGACACAATGCAAGGAGACCCAAGCAACAGCTGCTGGAAGAAGCACAAGAGTTTTAAACAAAGCTCTCATGCCAAAGACCCATTTTGAATGCAGGAGAACTGGTACCAAGGGTGTTGGAATATGAATGAGCTGTCATGAAAATGAGAGGACATGGAGAAACAAAACATCAACAAATGCAAAAAGTCTCAGGGCTGCAGGTGGAGGAGTTTATGTCCACAGGTTTGAACTCACAGCAAGTGGTGCTGTGCAACAGCCAGGGCTCAATGCACTTTAAAGCCCCCCCTAAACATCACCAAAATCATTAAGCACCAAGGCTCTGCCCTTGTCTCTGCTGGATCCGTAGAGACAGACATTCCCACACGTTGCTGCCAGCTGCTACAGGGAGTCAGGGGTGTCAAGGAACAGGCAAGCTGGACAAGGTGTTTTCTTACCAAGTGCAGATAGGTGAAGAGTGGTCCCAGCATGGGGCAGACAAGGGTTTCATAGTATTCTGAGGGACAGGAAAGTACCAAGGGCTTCACAAACACACCTGAACAGACCAGTTAAGGAAGAGATCCAAGACCTAAGGCTAGCTGCTAGGGAGACTGCAGCACAGTGCCCAAGCCAACCCATTCCACTGGAAGGCCAAGGGACAGACACTTTCTCACAGCCCTGAATTAACAAATGGCATCTCTATACAGCAAGAACATCAGTTATTCCGCTCTTTCCCCAACAGTTCAGCTGAGAAAGCTAAAGGTGCTTAGCACCCATTTCCTAGCTGTGAGACTGGAAAGTCAGCTGGGAAACCCACATGATCTCCCAGAGAAACACATCCTAATGTCAAGCTGCTCACTATCCAAGCCCCTTTGCCCCTCAGAAGGCACTTACACCCCTCCCACAGTGCCTCCAGAACCACACAAATCCTGTGCATTTATTCTGACCTTTATTACGCAGTGCTCTTTCTGCTCGTGCCCTCCTAGGCTCACACATCATCTGCACCAGGTGTACCCTGTCTGTTTACCTCCTCAATCACCCTTCTTTGTCTTGGCCATACTGAAAACAATGCAAGGTTTAAATTTATGTCTTCAGAGCCTCCCAAGCTGGCATTAGAGAGTGATGGAAGGATACGGAGCATGGGGCGCAGTCTGTAATCAGGAATGTTGTTGAGGTTGTTGAAAGCAGAGCTGAGGAGCTGGGTGGCGAGACCCTCAACAGTGTAGAAATCCTGTTGCATGGAGGGGCCTGCATTTCCCAGGATGTGAAAACTTCAACAGAAAACAAATTGGTTACAAGTCTGCCACATAACAAGTACCACATCTCTGATCTACAAAGGCTACAAGTACTATCATCTTGAGACTACACAGTTGTCACATTCCTAAACAAATACTGTGGAGGAATTTTAGCACGCTATCTCTTTTTTTTCTGGGATATCTGCAGAGGAACAATGACTTAAGCATTTAAGCACTACAAGGTATTTTCAAGTGCTGATGTACCCTGGCACATAATTAGAAGTGGCAAAAGAGATAAACTAGATGAGGGTTATCAGGTAAGCGCTCCAATCTGACTACCTAACTACAGAAGAGCTAAAAGCAGATCCCCATTTTGAGGTACTTTTTCCAGACTGTTCCACGTCTGTGTGGCAGGTTACAACCACTCAGTACAGGCCGCCACTGCAGCTTGTACTTGCATACTGCAGGATACAGCTCATGCCAAAAGTCTGACTCTAAAGGAAGTCAGGACCCCACAATAACCTACTGCTCTGCCTGTGCAGTGATGAATCGTGGTGAGAGATGTGGTGCTCTTACCAGTTGTCATAGAGGGTACAAAAGAAGCCCTGCATCCTTTCTAAGACTGTTTTGTAAACAGGAGAGTCATAAAGCTCCAACAAAGGCTGAGGGAGACCTGTGGAAAGGAATAAACTTCAGTTACATTAATGATGAGAACACAGTGCACCTTCAGAGCACACTGTACAGGCCCCAGCCAGCTTGATGGCAGCAAGGGAAACCCTTGCCAAGAGCCAAATAGGAAGCGGTGCAGCAACCCTAGGGCAGAAAGTCAGAGGTCAGCCAGGTTCAGGCTGGCTGCACCCAGAGCAAAGGTGTTTCCACTGAGGTTGATGTAGCTCCTCTAATAGCTCATTCCTTCAGGTTTGTATTCTCTGCCACGATACAGGCTACCGTTGAACTATGATATTAAAAAGTTTAGAGCAGAGATCAAGGCCCTGCTGCTTTATGTGCAGGGGCTCACAGACAGTTTTTAAAGTCAGATAAAGGAAGCAGGTCCTCATTTTATAGACAGGAAATGGAGAAAGACAAAGCAACTTCCCCAAAGTATTTTACTGTCTGTCAGAACCTGAAATTAAACCCCAATTTCCAAAGTTATGATCCACATTTTATCCACAAAGCCATCTGCTTCTGCTTGGCTGGAAAGGCTCCTGTGTTCACAAACTCACACCTGTTTTAAGAAGGTTCCAAAGGCTCCTTTCTAGCACACTGTCTAGAAACAAACGCCAGGGCCACACTGCACAACTTGGCTCCTGCCCTCCAGGACAGGTCTCTGCACCAGCACTCAGGGCTCCTTCTGAGCACTAATTGTGCTTAAAGGCAGACAATCCAGCCTCTGCAGCCTGAAATGCCATGCTGCAGAAACCACCACCTTCCCAGAGTTGGGACAAGCAGTTTTGTACCCTTCAATGCACGCAGAAGAAACCAATGTGTCTGAGACCTGTAACTTAAAATTTAATGTCTTCGTTTCAGCCGGTTCAAATCACAGCTGAGCTGCAAATACTATGAAGAACCTGGTCCTCCAGCCCTATTTCTCTTCCACTGTTATGGACAGATCACTGACTCACATCTCTAAGAATCTGCCCACATATGCCCTCCTGAAAAGAAGCCTCTTACCTAGAATGGCATTCTTCTCCACCTCCAGCATGTCCAAGGCCTTTGCAAATGTATCCCCCAGCCTAGCCACCATCTCTGGCATGTAGAGGTTGTTGTGAGTTCTGAAACAGAAGTGCATTTGGTTTATACTCATGTAAGTCAACCCCTTTTTGCCCTTGACAGTGGAATCCTCTCCTTCAGCTTGTGACCTGCTCTTCTGAGGTAGATGATGAGGAAGGTGAGACCACGCACATGTGCATGGGATCCCCCTTCCCCACCTGCAAAAATACTGGGGAAGCTGACTCAACAGAGACATGGAGTGACTCCACCTCCTGTCCTGAATCTCCTGGCTGCCCCTTCCACTTATTTCAGTTCATCCCACCCCCTGCAAGCATTGGCAGTAAAAACTCCCAGCAATTCTTCAGATGATGCTGGGAACAACTTATTAGCTTGGCCAAAGGGATCGGAGAATGTATTCTTAAAACTGAGAAGACATGGATTCTGCTGTCTCAAAAGATCTTCTGCACCTAAGGCCCCTGCAGGGGGAGGGGCTGTTTCACAGTCCCCAGAATGGCAGGTGGCATCGGAGGGACTCTAGTGAGAACATCAGTCTGATGAGATGTTACTCATGGCAGGCACACATGCACCCTGGACAACACATCCAGCTGGGAACAATTCCGCATCACAAGAAGTGGGTGCTGTCATCTGTCTGCAAGGGATACCAATTCAGCCATGGGTGGCTGGTTCTTGCCATCCAGGCCAAAATGGGTCCTGTCCCCTCTCTTAGCCAGGGTACTGACACTCAGAGCTGGACTCAGCCGGGGTGTCTCTCTCACCTACCTCTCTCCTTTGAGACCTCAGACCTCCACTCTGGGTGTCGCCAGCTGCACACAGCACAAATCCTGCAGCCTCCTCCAAAACTGCAATGCCATTGTACCTGCTTCTAGAGGTGATCAAGGGCAACTCAGTATCTCCTCCTCAAGCAGCGTTTCCCAAAGCAGGGGGTACATGGGAATGGCTGGGGGAAGGGAGGGTGGACCAACCTCGGGATGTTCTCCAGAGTCTCAGTTTTCACTCATGTATTAAGTATTGGTTCTTTGGGTTGTTTTTTTTTTAAGGTCTACGTTCATAATTCTGGCAACCCTGATGCAGTGATGACTGCCTGCATTTGCAGAAAGCTCCAAAACCGCAACTATCCTGTTTCTCTCTGCAAGTGTTAAATATTACCCTGCCCACTGCACGTGAGGAAGGCAAGTATGTGAACTTCTCAAGAAAGAGCTACACAAATGACTTCTTAAAGACTCATACTCTCATTCTGGGCTGAATCTAACACCATGCAACAGGCCTCAAAGGGGTACAAGCTGATTCTACTTTGCCAAGAAGGGTCAGGGAACAGCCCAGCTTCCACACTGGTTAATGTTGCCCCCATTGACTCAAAAAGCTGTACATTTCTGCTTGAGGCTGAAACCTAGCCGCTAAAATAATCTCTTGTATGTCTCCCGCCCACTGCACGCCAGTGTTGGCTTTGCTTCATGCTGGGAGGAAGGCCAGTGGGGCAAATGCAGGGACTGTGGAACTGCAAAGGTGAACCCTGAAATCCCACTGCACTAACTCCATCAGGACAGGCCAGACATCATATCCTGAAGGTCATGGTCCTTAGTTGTTTCAGAGTCCTTGAAGCATTTTCAGTCTGAGAGTTGGGAGGCAGATGTTCACTTACATGGCACGCTCTCTTAATACTTTAGCAAGTTCCCAGTGGGAATGGAAAGAAAATGGCCTATCACCCACCCCCCATGGGAGTTAAAAAGGCATCCAACAGCCCTCATGTATGATGATGTAGCCCCTAGGCATGTTCCAGCTGAGACTAATCAGCACTCCTGGGTACCCCACACACAGGAAAACAAAGTAAAACTAATTTCAAGAGACATTTCTGTTTTAGAAAAGACAAGCAAAGGATATGGCAGGACTTGGGGAATTTTCAGTGATGATCACAGCTCTGCTAGAAAGAGTATCTGATGCCTACAGAGAACAGCTTATAAACCAGAAGATGAGTCCTTTAGGACAGTCCATGATCGAACAATCCTTTTAAAAACTGGAGCTGTCTAAAATGAAAATGCCTCCAGCATCCATGTCTACCCAAGAATTCTTTCACCAGCATTAATGTTTGGCAATGTCAGCATCTCGTCATCAGGAGCTCCAAAAAAGCCTTTGTCTAAGCAAAGCATTTGCTGAGCCTGAGCACTTAATTTGTAACAAAACACGAGCAAATCCCAGCACAATAAAGGCTCTGCACCCATCAGGTCATGCAGCTACTGACTGCAGAAATGCACCAAGGTGGCTGAAAATCATGATTTGGGTTTACATTCAGGAGTGAACATTTTAAGCCAGAAGCTAGAAAACACCTACATGAAACGAGGTGCCACAGAGGACAGGAGAATCATTAGTCTGGAAACTGCAAGCAGTGATTAATAAAGCAACTTCAAAATAATTCATTAAATACAGCTACCAACACAAACACAGGTAGATGCCATTCAAAGATACCTTATTTTTCCACTGCCTGGACTATCTCATTCTTCTCAGTTCTCTGATCTCACCCATAACCTACCTTCAAGCTACTTACCACCCTGGCAAAGGCTAATGGCTTAACAGCTTCACTGCTTCTGTCTGCTAACACAGCAGCAGAATGCCACACACTATCCAGAGAGCAGCGGACCCACCTGCTCAGCCAGACCCATGCTACTGCTACTTGCACATCTGCTCACACAGAAACCAACACAACCTGCAGGGACTTCTGTATCTCTGTCCCACATAAGCACGTGGGCAGCACTGGATGTTGCTTATCCCTACAGAGAGCTGCCCAATGGCACAGATCTAAGAGAAGCATCTATCCCCAGATAGTAATGCAACTATGTCCCTGAAGGCATCCTCAACACAAGCAGCTTTCCTGCCAGGCAGCCTTTCTCATATCCCAATACCTCCTGCCTGCTGACAGGCAGCTACAGATTCCATATTCTCCTGTGTGGTCCATACTAAAGAGGGCTTGAGGAAGATATACATGGAGAAAAGGCACCTGAACTCAGCAAAGAACACAACAGGAGCTCCATAGCGCAAGATCCAGCTTTGCCAAAAAGACATAAGCATCATCATCAGCACTTGCACTGAACAACTATGAGATTGCAGTTGTCAAACAGAGGCTTATATAACCAGCAGCAGCAATGGAAAAATATGAAGTATAAAGATCTACTTTCTTAATACATTATTCAATAGTTCTTGTTAGAGCACCTAGCCTTAAGAAAAGCCCAGATACCTTTGAGTGAAGTACAGCTTTCTCCAAGTATGTTACTATCATGTACACAGAAAATATTTTGGTCTGCAGGTGAGATGCTTGAACAACACAGATGCATTTTCTCAAAAAAAGCCCAAACCAGCCATGGAGCCTCTTCCTTTATACTAAATAGAGAACATAGCTCATGTGTTGTCTTGGAGGTGGCAAAAGCCAGACACTGAGTTTATGCTTCTTCACAGAAGTGGTGATAGAAGTTGGATGACAGTTTCTTAAGCTTGCTGTAACAGAGATCCCAAGTGATTTTACTAAGGCACAAGTTGTGGTAGGAACAGTGACCGGTTGAGGAAAAAGTGTCTATTGCAGCCTGTTCAGACCTTGAGCACTGGTTTAGTTGGTCTCACAAAATATGACATGTGTCAGAAAGAAATGGCATGAAGCTACTGCTACTCAGCGCAATTCTACCTAACCTCTCCCAGAAACTCATCAATAGGATCTTCAGCCTTCCAGCATAAAAGGCAAAAACACTTCAAGCACAATTCTGTATGTCTTGCTGGTCACTGGCCAAAGTACCACACACTGTGCTACACAGAGTTCAGTGATGAGAAACACTGCTAGTGTGGGCCAAGACAGCGTGTGCTTTTCCCAACAGTCTAGCATGTTGCTTCTCTCTGCAAGCAGCACATTCCTGCGCGGAGTGACTGCTAAACATACTCAACTAGAGAGAACTTAGGTAACAGGGCCCCTTCCCTTACAAACCCAGGAGCTGAAAAATCAAAGTGGATCTGAAAATGTTCTTTCTTAAAAGGCCCCTGCCAAGAACAGAGCATAAAGTTTTCAAGCATGTAACATGTTATCTCATAAAACTGTCCCATAAGTCTGGCCAAATCCCAGTGTCTGGAGTTACGCTGAGAGAGACTTCTTTATAATTCTAGGAACTGTGTTATTCAGGATTTCCCTTTTCTGCCTTCTCTTGCTCCTTCCCCTGGCTGCCCCAGATCTACACAACACCGGTGACACTGAGTCACTGCAACAGCCTGAGAGTATGCATCCACTGATTTCAAAAGTAGACAGTGCTCTTGAAGAGGAGGCTGCTGCTCATGTTCAGCAAAGCCAGCTTAATTTAACACTGAAGAGAGAACAACGCAAACAGGATGCGATGAGAGCTGGGACTGCCCTGGTGGTGATGGGAGAGGTGGCCTTGTAGGGGCTGAGGGCAGAACACAGATGTCAGCTGAGAAATCATTAACTGAGTGGCAGAACTACAGCAGTGGAGGGGGCAAAGGCAGCCCCAGCACGAGCTCCCATTAGCTTTGATGGCCTCTTGCAGGCCAGACCAATGAACATTCAGAAGGCTCCAGCTTCCCCAGTGCCAGTCCCCACTGTGAGCAGTCAGGAACAGTACTTGGGCACTGGCACCAACTCATATTCCCACTGGCTTCACTGGGCAAACATGCTCTGAGCATTCCACATGTCTATCACAGTTTGGCTTTCAGAGATTTATAAGCAAACGTAAATGATTTCAAGTCAACTTGACCCACCTTATGAGAGCAAGTAAATTGTCAAAAAGCTTCAGGACCTGCTCAGTGCAGGGATTACGGTACATTGGAGTTCCACTGGGCAGGTACCCCAAAAAGAATCCTCCAGCTTTTGCCTCTTCAGTAGCAGCAGGCCAACGAGCTCGTTTCACAACTCCCAGAATGGTGTACACACAAAAGCTTATCTGCAGCAAGAGATGTAGAGAAGCATTTTGTAGTCAGATCACAGTCTGAATCAACAGATTTTCAGAGAAACATGTCCTCATCCCATATCAAAGGGAATGTCAGGCAGTGAACCTAACCTGGTGACAGGAACAAACTCTGGTGAGTTTGCTGCCAGGAAAATGCAGCAAATGATCATGCTATATTCCATCAACATCAGAGAGCCCTGGCCAAGGCAGGATGGCCTAGGAATTCATTATCAGACAATGCACACCCTCTCAAGAGCATGCAAGTAGCCAGGTAGGCTGCTAAAAGGGTCTAGACTATCAGTTCCTCGTATCCTTCATTTGCTGGGACAGATGCAGGATCCAAGATGACACATTAGCCCCTCTATGGACTGTATTTCAGTGTCTTCTACAGGTCTAAGGACAGCAACTCCATCTGCAGTCCAAGCAGAGACCTTACACTAACAATTCAACACATATCTCTGCAGGTGAATTTTAATTATGCTCTGTGCTCCAGTCTGAGCACAAGGTTTTCCATACTGCCTGGTTTAAAAACCACAGTTCACTGTGCCACCTTTCCAAAAATCATGTAAATCAATTGCTTCTCCAAAACCAAACTCCATTAAACAAAGAGTAGGAAACAGTGTGCTTCACTCTGATAAGTAATATGGTTTTGCATGGCCTGCATGCTCTTTACTGTAGATTAAAGAGCCAAGACCAGCCTGTTATTCAGCAGTCTGAAAAACCTATTGATCCAAACTCCAAAGAAATACACAATCAGGAAAACTCGTGTGTAATCACAAAAGAAATGGGGGATGGAAGGAGGCAGGTCTCCTTTCACCAGTGATTACACCTCTCCTGGCAATGATACTCACTCTAGACCGGTTCAGGCCACTAGGATCTTCCAAGACTGGATCAGCAATTTTGTTGTCTGCACCCACGTAGGATATAAAGGCTTCAGGATCTGAGAGGACTCTGGCAGCAGCAAAAGACAGCAATGGGATTATTGTTTTTACCAGGGAATTTCAGCAGAACTTTGCACTGGCAATAAATATCTAACAAATACAGATCAGGCTAGAGAGGCTAGGTAGTACTCCATCCTGTATGTGGGAACACGATTAAAAGCATCAGAGATGTATACACTCTTCAAACATTATCAGTTCTCTTGGGCTGTTGAGATCTAAAAGATTCAGATCTCTTAGGAAGATGGCCCTGCTGGGAAAACGCTTGTGCATGCCCAGCCACCCAGAGCCACATGACATCTCAGCTTTAGTAAGAACTCAGCTTCCTACCTTCTCCTGGGGATGAGCAAGGTTGTCTTTTATTTCTCATTTTCTGCAAATGCTTTGAGCATGCTGGGGAATGTTCCTTTATTACCTTAAGCAACTCTTACCCAGAAACTTTCAGCAAACAGCATTTAGTCTGTTGGCAGTTTCTGAACTGTATAACTATTATCACAATGGCTGCCCCCAGCACAGGAGGTCAAGAGGCACAGGCAGCCCACCACCTTCCTATGGCTTCTGTGTTTCCTTACTGGGCATGGCATTACTTCCTCAACACCTCCAGCTCAAAGTTGGAGAAGAAATGACCAACAGAATGAAAAATAACTCATACCTCTGCATCTCTGGGGATAGCCATAAGCCAGCCACAGGAGCCATGAGCTCCTCCAGGAAAGCTTTCTGTCGCTCATAGTCCTTAAACTGGTTGCTGATGAGGACAAGGGCCTCCATAAGAGCACACTTCTCCATCTGCGTCAGAAGTAGCTCATTTGACAGCAGCTGTTTCACGTGGTTGTACAACATCTCAAAGTTTGGCTAGAAAACACATCCAAGTGGAAAAGCATCATGCATTTGGTACAGAGGAGGGCCACTGGGGGAGGTAGAGAAGGGGTGTACTGTACAGCTGGAGGAGCATGTCTGTTACTTTTTCTCAGCATAGGCATCTCCTCCTCACACTCAGGTTTCTCTTCATGTTCAGTCTAAGAGAATTTCTATTCTTCCCCACCCCTGTATTATTATCTTGCATCCATTTTACTTTAACTCTCCAGAATAACTGAAGTAGGAACAGGAAATCTCTCCCTAGGCAGTTATATCCCTTAAAGCAGTATCACACCTCAAATCGGTTCTGGTGCTTTTATTTGCTCACAGAAAGCACCTTGCTTCTTTGGCCACACTGAGGATTCTTCTATATCTTTGCTTGTGGTAACAATTCATATGGTTACAATGAGTGCCACAGGAATTCTTGCATTTCTTCCTTTCCTTCTCTCCAGTTGTCACCAAATCTACCCATAATATTGTACAAGCATTAGCAATCATCCCTGTCAGCAAAGTCATCTGAACATCTTTTGGTGCAACTCTGGGTCCTTGGCTCTCCTAGTGAGGATGTCTGGCCATGGGAAAGAGACTGCTATAGCTCAATGATCAATGAAGTGGAACAAAAACAAACCCATTAGTTCTTAGCATCAATTACAGAATGCAGACTGGAACCTCCAAATTACCTTAATTATCATCCTTTAAAAATGTCTTTGTTTAAACTAGCAATATCCTATGGTCCTCCCATAATCCTAGGTCCCACTCCACAGAAACACATCTAAAGAATGTTGCATGCAGAGACTGTTTACTTCAGCAAAACAAACAAAACATAGCTCATAGAATTTAAATGTATTTGTTTTCTAATCTCCTCAAGCTCATCAAAAAATCAAATACTCTCCTTTTCCTCCTATATTCTGTTAAGTAACAGAAGAAAATCTGGTGATTAGCTATGCTAGTGTCTTCAGCTAAGGAATCAACGGAGACCAGCACAGGTGATAACACGGACATTCAGCAAACATTCCCATAAAACCAATGCAGAGCTGCTTGTATCCTCCTCCTCATACCTTTTACATTTAACCCGCCAATCTACAATTCAGCTCCTCAGGCAGAAAATTTTTCAGTGGGGAAGGAAAGAGGTACAGGGAACGAACCACTTTGCCATTTGTGTAGCAGGAATGCTTCTTGCAAGGAAAGCAGAGACTGCAGCCAAGGAACTTGAAAATCCCACAAAATCCAACTGAAACTGAGGCAAGATTCTTCATGACAACTGCATTTACATACCAGGACAAGCTGAGGGTAATCCCGGCACATCTTTATGATTGAGGAGCATGCATGCCTTCTCACATTCTTCACTGCTCGAGTTCTAGGAGCCTGGACAGACACAACAAACTTCAATGCAACAAAACAAAAGTTCAGCCAAATGCAGGGTATCTTCAAGAGACAGATTCATTATGTGTATTTTTCTGCACTGTTGAGCACAGATCAAAAAAAACATTTCCATGCCTCCCCTGCTCCCTCCAAACAATCACGCAGCAATCAAATTTCCTCTGCAGCAGTAGTCAACTCAAGAAGTCCATGTTCAAACAAGCTGTACTTTAGGAGTGAGGATGCCATGACTCTTACTGACTGTTTTAAGACTCCAAGCATTCCTTAGGTAACTGGTGGGTTTACAGGCATCCTTCAGAGCCACGTATACCAACTACTGAAAGAATACACAGAGCTAATGAAGGGATTTCACTCTCAGGAAGGCCTGCACTGACTGGGGAAGTAAGTGTATTGGCCTTAGAGCACACCTATGGTGTTCTAAGCTTGTGAGCCAAAGCTTAGTAGAGATCAGCAGTATCTAGACTGCCCAGATTTTTCAGGAGCAGAACTATGCTTGAGAAGCCTACTTCAGCAGTCTTCAGACTCAGGATGGTCTCTCCACTAGAATATGATTTGATCCAACTGTTATAGCTCATTAGTAGATAATTCAGACGTACCTTACTTTCTTCTACAACTTCAAAGGTAACTGAAGCAAACAGCTGTGAGAAAAGAAAAATCAAAAACTCATATAACTTGTTAATATTTAGTACTCACGTCTGTTTGAGCTCAAGGGACATGTAATAAAGATTTTAGTGCAATTTCACTGAAATCAGTGAAGAACCCCTGAGTAAGTTGAAAGTTTTGAAGAAAATCATCAATACAGTGAGGCCTTGAAATAAAACATGGCCAGAGCATGCACTCATAATATTAAGATTTAAGGCTAAGAACTACAAAATTTGGGTTAATTGACATTACTCTTCTTCTGACAAGCCTCAGTCTTGGTTTCTCCCATCTTTAACATGAAGGATAGTCCTTCCTTGACAGCAACACCAAGAGGATTGACTCCTGTAGTTTAGTGCAAGAGCCTTGCACCACAAAAAGCTGATGTGATTTTAGCTGGGTCTGCACGTACCTACCTTGGAAAGTACTTGCGGGAGGTATTCTGGTCGGTAAGTGACAAATGGAAAGAGAGCAGAGACGTTGGTGAGCACACAGGACAGGATGAGAGGATCTTTTGTTTCAAAATTAAGGACAAGCTGCAATAGATCTATGCCATCATTCACTGGGATTTCCTACAAAGGTATCAAAAAAAAAAAAAAAAAAAGGAAAGAAAAAGGGAGGCAACACTCAATACTCCAAGCTGTAGTATACTTCCTACAAAAACACGGAAAAAGGCTGAGGCAAAAAGGACAGCAGCATCGCCACTGCTGATAGGGCAGTCTTGAGACATCAGTCTCTAGTCCCCGTATTATTGCTTGCACCCCTCTGGGAAAGGCAAATTTCCTCTCTCAGTCTGTCTCCCAGTTCTCCTCTTGACAGTGTCCAACAGATTCCATGCTTAACCAACTGTATTGACCCACATAATTATTCTACTGTGATTAGACTGATGAGTGCATGAGCAGCTTAATCTAATAAAAAAATCAAGTCAGTCTACATCAAACTGATCCTTCTGATTTGCCTGTTGTTGAACAAAAGATAGAGATAAATACTTCTGATCTCCTACTCTGTGGGCATAAGTTCCTCTCATTGAGTTAGAAGTATAAAAAAAAAAATTAAAGGAAATCTATTAAGAGGATAATTAAATAACTCAATACATTTTTCCTTAAGCAATCTCTTCTACTCTAGCAAGGCACTATGTAAAAGCATGTCACCTGAGCACTCTCCTGTGACTTCTCATCCCATAGTGTCCAAAATTAAGACCTGCCAGTGTAAGTTTGGTGTCATCAAAAGAAGGGTCATTATTTCTCATGAGAATGGCTCACCAAACAATCTGGGTTTTGCATGAGATAACCAGTTACAACAAACTGCTCAAGGATAACATGACTGCAAAAACCCACTGGTGTTTGACCCAGAAGCCAGGAGAGAAGGCAGGAGCATGGGATACACATACATCTTTATCCATGGTTCGAAACATCTGGCTGATGACGCTCTCCGAGAAGAAGGTCATGGCATCCCACTGCACAAAGGATGGAGAGAAGATGGAGCAGAGACCTTCGCCTGTCTTAGCTGAAAGGAAGAGAACACTGGAGCTCTCACCATGCTCCTCAGCAGCAGCCTGGTAAGTTCCTGTGCTGCAGCACCTTAGCACTCACAAGTATTTTAAGCACACTCTGCAGGCAGGGATGCACTGGGAGCAATTAAGGTAATCCCGTGTGATTTGCTTCACTCAATTGAAGGCTCCTGAGACATAAGTCTTTGAGGTACTATGCAGAGCAATATGAACAAATCACAGGAAGGGAAAAGAAGGGAGACCACATGCCCAGACTCAGCACCACAGGCAAGACTGCTCTCGGTGTGACTTTGCAGAGCACCAAGCAGCCTTCCTTCACAGCAGGGAAAGCAAAAGTGACTAACAAGGGGTTTTCCAGATAGGCATAACTTCCTTAACAAAAGTAATCAATGTTACAAAGGTAAAATGGCCCAAACAATTGTAAAATTTTATCAGAGGGACAGCTGTACCTGTTCTGCAGACAGATTTAGAGGGAGGAAAGGAGGAGCCAGGGGCTTTACATTACTTATTCCACATGTAGATTCCAAAGGGAAAAATTACAGAAGGGATGGGTTTGACATGGTTTTGCTTTTAACTTGCAAAAACCTTAAAAGCCTGAAAATCTTGCACGGAGTCTTGGCTACCACTTAAAGAACTGAAACAACATCAACAAAAAAAAGGCCAAGAAATTTCTTCATGGCTTTAATTAAAAAACAAATCCCATATCCCTAACTTTTTTCAGGTAACCTACAGTTCATGGGTCCAGGATCAACAGGAGCTGTGAGTTGGTACTTCAGCCATTCACCAGCCATTTGGAAGCCAGTTAGAGGGTCCAGACGACAAGCCATCCTCATCACCTCTCCTTGCTGGGCTCGGAAAGCTGCAGGGAAAAATCAGACCCCAAGAAACCAGCTGATGCTGCAAATTTTGCAGACCCATGAGCACTAAGGACTTTTGCTCTGGCTTTGTGTAGTGGGCACAGATACACAAACAGTAAAGCAGGTACAACAGGATAGGCAAGTTTTCAAGTAATTTAAGTGGACTAAAAAATGATGGACTAACATTAAAAAGTACAATTAAAATGCAGTATGAATTATGAAAATCTATGCTGATGTCTTCTCATGGTCTTAAAAACTGAGAGCCAGATACAATTAATGGATAAGGGGTTTTTACCTCGGTATTTTATAAGGATTCTTATTGGTGCACCACTTTGCCAAGGTGTAACGCGGCACCTTTTACTTCACCAAGATAAAAACCTCTTATCCCTTAACTGTGTCTGGCTCTCAGGTTTCTTCAAACCAGGAGGAGGCATCAATGCTAAACCAGATTTACTACAATTAAGCCTCTATTCTTAATTTAAAATAGTCCTCAAACTATAAACATTTGCCACTTGCAGAGCATCTTGGGATACTGAGATAAAATTATTAGCATTAGGTAACTACTACTTCCTTTAGCTACACATACTTCTTCTAGATTATTCAACCAATGACAAACAAATTTGAACTCAAAACTCAGTTGCCCTGTTTTCAATTTCAAATTTCAATATACTAAAAACAAAGTACAGAACAGGAATTTCACTTGTTCCAAAATATTCCGGTGCATGACCACACAAAAGAATCAGCTCTGCTGACTGTACAAATGCAACTTCCATTGATTTCTTATATATGTAATGTCTTCAATATAACTCCCTCTAAAACTATTTCAGATTCTGGCTTTGTGCATTTAGCTACTTTATCATTTCTATTCAAATGGATTTATTACAGTAAGTGAAATTATCTAGTAGGCAATAAAAAATGCAACACTTAAAAACTTCAGACATAAATGTAAAAAGTAAAAATTTATGTAATTTGTTCAATGTATTCTCCCACCCAAGTTAGTACTGAACTACACCAGCCAGTGAGAACCAACTTCAGTTTTGGGAAGAAAAATACAAAATGAAAGAAAAAGTAAAATCATTAATATCCAGTGCTGGTTTAAGATCCCGATTAAATCTGGCTATTTTAATTGCTCAACTCCCGCTATTGGTATATTGGAAAATGGCTCAGACTATTCACTGAGTCTTCACAGAAGTATGTTGAACATCATTTATTTCTATCTTTAGCACACTTTTATAGGGTCTGACAGAGTCTGCGGGCTCAGCAAGCTACTATTGGTTAATACATATTGTTTTACATTCTTTCCCCAATACACAATGCCATTGTTTTTCTTTATTCTCGCTGCTCCAGGAGAGTTTCAAGGACACTGCCTTTAATACTGCTGCCTGGATTAAAAGCTGGCTTGTGCAACCAGGCTTTTACTAAAATATCATGCCCTTGTTGTGCTAAAATATTCTTTACATTGGTACTAAACCAGAAGCTTCCTATCAGGGCCAAGACAGATTTTCTTTCTGGAATGCCATCTAAAGTATTTTGTAAGCTGCCTTCCTTTCCTAACCTGAGCATGAATTGAGGCTGTTTGATTTCCTTCTCTAGGTGACCAAAAGACACACTTGCTTTCACACCAGGATGCTATTAGGCCATCTATCTGACCAGCCAGCAAAACAACAACAAATAACAGTAAAATTAAATACATGAGCTGCCCCAGGAAAATCCTAACTTAATTTACTCCAAGATCCAGACTTAAGAAGTTGAGAAACAAATGGAAGCTGCCAAGCCAATTTGGTAGGCTCCAAGCTCAGCCAGTGGCTAAAAGCAGGAAGAAAGGCACAGACAACAGAATGCACAAAGGGTCATGGCAACTTACAGTTGAAGAAGGCATTGAAGTCCTCATCACTGTCAAAATCAAAACGGGAGTATTCACAGCTGGGGCTGTCTGCTTTGGAAGGAAAGCCCACCTGGAGACAAAGTGGAAAAGGTCAGGAACAAAGAGAAGTCACCCATCACAGCTAACACCAGCTTCAAGGAGATGAAGGCTGGAGACAAGGATTAAGATACAACTGTGTGCTCAGCAGCCTGGAGATCATGTCTGGCCACAACACAAGAAAAATGTAGTTTCTTCCCCCATGACCCACAGGCCATGCTCACCAGGCCCTTTCTCACAACCAACTGTGATTTTCACATACCTTCACCAGGTTGGTCATCGATGCACGGAGATACTTGGGAACAACAGCCAGCAACAAAGGGTCGTGAGACAGAACTTCATGCCGAAAAAGAGCTCCCCATGTGATCTGGGTGGAAGACCGCAGAAACTGGGGGACAAAGAGAGAAAAGAGAGAAGCAGGAGGATTTCAGTGCTGGAATTTCCACTGCTAACATTAAGTGCTGCTATCAGAAACCAACAGCAAATTACAGTGACTATTAAGTTGAGGCCAAGGCACCTTGATGGCACCCCCCCCAAAATCCCAGAAAGCAAAAAATCTCTAATAATAGGAATGGCTGCAAATTCTCAATTTTCTACTCAGTTCTCTGTGTCAGGAACTGTTCCTGATGGGGTGGTAATGGAGTAGAAAACACTGCCTTCCAGGCCTTCAGCTGAAATGGAGAGCCTAGAGAGCAGTATTTAGCAGCTGAAGTTCTGTTTTCTACAGGCTAGCTCAATTATGCATTCACACACACAAACACATTTGAAACTTTCAGTCCTTTACATACCTGGCTGGGATGGGTTGTGAAGGCTAAAAATGACTCAAGGTATTTTCCAAAGTTGGCTGGCGTTTCCACATCACAATCTGAGCCCTATGAGGAACATGAAGTATTTCAGACAAAATACTAACTTTATGGCAGGCTGGGCTCACAAATGGTATTTTTCAGGGTAAAGCAGGAGCACTACATCCAAGGCCATAGACTGTAAAGGAGCAGAGACAGAAACACTGAACAACTGATTTTTTTCTGAAACCAGTATAGCCCAAGGAGCATCAAGTTCTGTTGACCAGCCTGGAGGTGCTTGAGACACCACCACCCTCATCCAAGAGTAAAGGGTGACTTCTCACATAGTGGAGTTCCATTAAAACCAAATTCACAACCACTACTGTTGCCGCAAGTCACAACTTTACTCCTGTTGGGTCAACCCCACATAGCAGTACCAAAGTTGTGCAATTCAAACTGAAGAATTTCACAAGAAAATATACAAAGATAATTTCACCCAATTTCTCCAAACATTTTGTGTATTTAACATTTGCATATCCATGACCAGTAACCTTCTTGGAAGTTTGTAATGACATTAAGTTTTGCCCAGAGCCATGAATTCAAGTTTTGCTGCTTCTCAGAAACTGTAACATGGCCTGGTGCCCTCAACATCCCTGAAACTACACAGCTCAGTGCTGCCTCTCCCAAGTGAATCTGAATTAGCAAGCTCCATCTCATTACTTCATTATGGATTACCAGCTCTGACTGTCCAACAGCAAGGGAAGTCACAGCAAGTAGTAATGCAACCTGTATGCTGTCCACTCTTTTTAGGAATGACATCTCAAAGGTTGTTTTCGGTTTTTTCTTTCTCTCCTTATGAGACTTTGCTCTATCACTTTTACAGGCTGGTTGCTTCAATCTCCCCACAACAGCATCTCTCAACAAGCCTGCCCTCTTTATTGTAGAAGCACTGAGCTGAATGGAGGGAGTTGGAATTCAGCACCAGCATGGCACCAACGGTATGAATTTGCATTTCATTTCAACCTTGACACAAAGAATTACAAAGATGAACAACAGGAATAAAACCCGTTTCTTCCTTCAGCTTGAGAGAGTCTTGGTAGAAGAACAGACAGGTATACTCTCTGAGTTATTTTTACTGGGAAATTTAAAAGGCTTCCAATAGATGAGTAATTTCCTGGACTAGATTTTCTGTAGCAGTAGTCAGCTAAAAACCTAACCAATTTTCAGTGAAGCTCAGCATTTTACAGAGGTTATAGGAAATGGTTCTTGATGACAGCAAAGCCCTGGCATCAGTCAGGGTCCCTCCAGTCTAAACTCCTATGACTTGGCAGGATACAGTTAACCCACTTAACAGCAGAGCCATTTCTGCCTTCTGGAAATGCATGGAGAGAACCCTACAGCTGCCAAATGTGCAGAGAGAACCCTGGTCCTACCTTAGATCAGGGTTGCCTCAAGCCCCAGCCCTTAAAACTAGCCCTGCCAGGGTTGCTGCTGGTATTGATAAAGACTTACTAGCAACGCACATAGCTGGCTGCCCAATGCACACAAAACTTGGCAAAGTCTCTTCAAGAAAACATAGTGCTTCTCCACCAGGCCTTCTCCATCTGCTGTCCTGGGAATGAGGGAAGGGGGGAAAAACAGGATCACAGTTACTCACACTGTAGGTGATTGGCACACTGCTGTCTATCTTGTAGATAAAAAGAGGACTAGAGCAATTTGATTTTATTGCAGTGGGATTTTCTTTGCTATTATCAAGAAGTACTGCTTTATTGGCATCTAAAACCTCTGAAATTGCCTCTTTGAAAGAGTCCCTCCTCCTGATCAGTTTCAGGCTAAAACAGAAACCCAGGGAAGCTGTGATATTTACACCTCTTCCTCTTTCAATTACGGATTTTGAAAAAAAAAAACCCACCAAATCCTGGTTTTCCAGATTTTGCAAAAGAAATAGTGGTTTTGTTCTCTCCTATCCCTGCTTCCTTTTCCTAAGCAGCAGTATCTTTTGCACCTACAGAGCCATTTGTATGCAGTTTTGTATGAAATCACAGCAGCACTGTGGTACTCACTGGGCAGCAGAGAGGATGCAGTGCATGGCAACATCTCCAAACAAGACCATCAGAGGCTTCCGATCCTCCAGCTTACCCTACGCACAAAACACACCACATGCCTCAATTAGAACATAACTATTTATTCCCATCTACATAAATATTTATTTCCATCTGCAAGCAAAATTAGGAGAATCAGTTTTCTTTCCATCTGGGGAGAGGCTTAAATCCACATATGATTTAAGTAAAAGCCTGCCATAATTCCAAGGTATCCAATCTAAAAAAATGTCTTCAAGCAATCCCACCACAGGAACTTCACAGGGCAAAACTGACCCTGAGACGTTATCTATTATTCACAGAAGACTGGCTAGTTACTTACACGCAGCTGATAAACACTCAGCCTTGACACTCAGCTGCTTGTGAACAAATGGGTCAAATCACCTGTTTAGATTCTGGTGTCATTTCTCTGAGCTGCCAGGTGACACAGCTGCTAACATTATTTTCCACTTCACAGTTCTAGGAAGTGGGGGGTAGAAGGTCAGTGAGAACCTCCAAGTTCAAACTGCAAGGAGAAGTGAGCACAGAATTTTGAAAAGGTTCCAATGGTTGCTCCACATATTGTGGAGCATGACATTCACACCAAAAATCATTAACAGAATCAGCTAAATTTGAATTTTGGTTCTCAGATAAAAGGGCAAAGATATCATTGTTCAGTCTGAAAAATTATATAGGAGAACAGGAGAAAAATAAAAGGGAGCTGGAAGAGCCAGGGAGGAAGAACTCACTTTCCTGCTGACAGCAATCAGGAGACACTCTGCTGCTCCAACTTGGAGTTCAGGCTCATTTAGGAGCAGACACAACATCTCCAAGAGCTTGCAGTTGTCTGCCGTAATATGGCTTAGGGCTACCCAGTCAATGTAGCCAGCCAAAGTGTTGAGTGCCGCTATCCCCACACGACAGTTAGCCTGGGCCTGTGAAAAGAGAGGAGGAACGAGTTCAGAGCCAGAGAAAAACACAGATTCCCATCTAAAGCCACCCACTCCCTGAAATAACAGTACCAAGAACCCCCCTGAGAAACTGATATTTGGACCCTTCTGCTGCCACTCCTCACTTGTCTCTTTTCAAGGGGTTTGTACTAAGAGTGAACAAATCCATCTGCATGAAACTGCAAGGAACAGACTTGAAAGCCTGGGAAAAGCCTAACCTAAGTAACCTTACTCTTGAGAATTACTAATGAGATAAGTCCCATATAGCTCCACTCACCTTTGGTTCCTGAGCCAAATCAATCTTCTGAAAAAGAGAATAAGAGAGGGTAAGTGAACAGCCACTGCACACGTTTCCACCCAGCCATTGCTGGACAGGCTTATCCTCAAAGACACAGCTCAAAAAGAGGCTGCATCACAGTCTTCTACTCAGGATATTGCTCCAGCCAACAAAGTCACCTCTGCAGCCCCCAGCCAGGTAAGACAACAGGACTCTGAACTGCCAAGTTAAGCCACAATTCCCTTCTCATCCAAAAGGTAACACTCCAGTCTGCAGGCACCGGGGAGACACAGGGGACAAGAAGGAAAGGCATTTTGGTACTTCCTGGAGGCTTCCATTGAAGAAGCTTTTGACCTCTTAAGAGCATCTTACACCCAAAAGCCAGACTCTGAAAAGATGCTTTAATATTCAGGTCTGAAAGGGTGATTTGTCCATGGTCAGGCAGCTGGAGAGAGCTGGAGCAACAATTTACAGCCTGACTCCCAGGCCTAGGACATTTAACAGCAACAATGCACTCTGCATGTACCATCTTTTTGCCTCAAGAAAAAAACAAGTCCCTCAGATACACAAGTTTGATTTGTTTTTCAGATGCAAAGACACCACAAGCATTTCTTTCTACTGCAAGGTTTTGGTTTGGACTATTCATCGCAGTGACTTTTAGTTTAATCAGCTTGAGTCCCAAACATTTAATATATGACCTGCCTTATAAATTATGTTTATCTATGAATCCATCATACTTATAAGCACAGCACATTATACAGTCTTGGGGATCTGTCCATCATCTTCCCCAGTCTGTGTGCAGACAGGTGAACACCCACCCCTCAGAAATGACCCTGTGCACAAACAGCCCAAAGATCGGCTAACCTGTGGAGTAGTGAGGACTTCTTGTTCCTGGGGTGCTCCAACCTTGCCAATCAGAAAGATTCCACTGTTAGCGGAAGCAGCCACACTTCAGAGCCTCAAGCATTGCAATGCAAACCTTACCTGGAAATGCATTTCAACCAGACTACAAAACACACAAGGGTCACCCTCCCACCACCATGAACTGCACAGAAAACAGTCTGCTCTACAGGGGGGTTGCTCAGCTTGACAGTGCATCAGGAAGGTGTACAGAAGTCAGGTAGAAAAAGGGTTTTTCATTGCTTCACAGTTCACACTTAGTATAACTCTGGATTTTAATTAGTGAAAGAAAAGAATGTGAGATATGACTAAGCAATTTGTTTCTAGTTTGGTTTCTTGACTGTGCTTCACCCTCAAATCCACCTCCTTTTCATAGGAATAGACTGGGGTAAACTCCACTCCACCATCGTGACTGACCTATACATTTCTGATTCTAAGTAGGAACTCAGGAAAGAAGTCTGTTTATACAAAAATAAAGAGCATTCTTCACTACAACTTTGCAAAGAAAGGACTTCCTGACTTGAGCTCTTGGAGAAAAGGAACAGAGGCCCAGAAGCATGTTGAGACATCAGAAATTCATGCATTTTGGTGCATCACCTCAAACATAGCACTACAGCGTGAAAGAGTAGACATGATTCCTGGATGGCATTTCTTAATCACTGTGTGTTACATAAACCACCCCAAATTACCTGTTTCTGCCACAACCACACCTTCATTTTGCTAAGCTGTACACCACTGGTGCCAGCGTGCATTCCAACAGTATGGATGAAGCATGCACCCACTCAAGCCATTTACACTAGCAAAATCTAAGTACCAACACTAACACTATCAGCCTTGTGTGTTCAGTCTCTCTGACCAGCACCAGCTTCCCAGGCCACAGCAGATCCCTACCTCAGAGCGGTGGCAAGATTTCAATTTCAGCACTTGCTTCTCCAACGAGCTGCTGTATCCCAGTTCCTAAATGCCTCCGGCACAGACTAAACCCAAGGGAAGGAGACTCTTACCATGAGTCTGTACTTGTTGACATTCTGCTGCAAGGCATTTAGTAGGAAGCTGAAGATCTTTTCCATGTTCTGGGTGAGGGTTTGCTGGATATCTCGTCGCCGCTGGGTGGGTAGAGTTTGAAAAGTCACCACATCCTCTGCCAAACGTAGGAGGATGAACATCACCAGTTCTGTCTGAGTTTCCTGATATCCCAAAGTGAAATACACTCTATCAGCACAGTCCAAACATTAAAATCTCTAGAGACTAGCTCAAAGATGTGGAGAGAAAGCAAGCATGCATGAAGACATAGGTCACACTTTGATGACCTTCTCTCTACTAAAGTCATCTCAGGATTGCTTAATCTTACAGGGATTTTTGACTCCATCACCAACCTGTCTCACCTGACCGTGAGTGAGTTAGAGTTTCCATAGGATGATGGAAGACTGAACCCCATACTAAGAGCAAGCAAGAGACCAGACAGCTATGTTTCATACCCCTTGCTTGGAGAGGGTATCCAGCTCCTTAAGCATGTCAGGCCAGTGCTGAGGCCATTCCCGCTTGATCATCTCCACCACAATGCGAGATAGCACATCCTTAATGTGACTCTCCTCCTCCAGGATACTTTGAGTTCCCTGTGAGAGAAAGGAGAGTTACACAAAACATCAAGCATCAGGGATTTAAAACTCTGACCTGGGAAAGACAAGAGTTTGCAAACATTCTAAACCACAGAAACTAAAACCAAAACAAAACACATTGGGCAGCTCTTCATTGCAGCTACCTTAGATGACACTCCTATGCTCCCAAGCATCCATAGCTAATAAACTCTGGGAACCAGAAGGATTCTCCTCAAAAGAAGGCCACCTGGTCACAAGAGCAATCACAACAACAGAGAAAACACGACCAAGATAATGGCTTTAGTATTTTTGCAAAGAACAAGAACATCCATAGCTACTGAATTTCCTCCTAAGAAAACAAAAAGTACCTTATATATGTTATACAAGCCTCACAACTTCCTGCCATGTGAGGTAGCATGGCTATTCATCTAACAATATAGAGAAAAGCACTGAAACAACCAGAGATGCAAAGTAAAAAAGCAAAGAAATGCAAAGCTGAATTCAGATCCTCTGTGCTAATTAACTGGAGTACTCTTTACTTTTGCTCTCACATTTCAGAGAACAGCCTGGGGCAGCAGGTACTTACACTGGATATGAGGCCCATAACATTGTTCTTTAGATAAACTTTTTCTAGGCGAGGCATATTGTTCCAGCGGTATCTGTTAAAAGTAAACAAACAAGCGAAAAGGAAAGCAAGTCAAAACATTTGTAAGGATCTCTTGACTTGATTCTCAAGGAACCATTGCTTCTTTACCTAAACTAGAGACACTACAGCTCCCTGCCTCTGCCAGCACCCAATCCCTTAATAAACAGGCTGAGTTAAAACTGCTGCTGGCAAATGGGCGTGCCCCACTGAGGTCAACAGACACCAAAAGCAAAAGCACAAAGCATCAGGTCTGTAGAGGCGGCAGAGAAAGGAATCTCAGAACTAATACAAAGCCTCTTTGTTAGCAGGAGGCCAATGACAGAACACTCCAAAGTCCTACTGGTAACCCACTGTGCTTATTTTCATTTTGTGATGTCAACGTGTCTTACAGCTCAGTGAATTCACCCTCCCAACCTGCCCGAGAGCAATTCTCTCCTCCTCTTTTACAGAAAAAGAAAAAAAAAAAAGCCAGAGCAGGACTGAAACTATCCTCTGCTGTAGAACAAACTCCCTGCGTCCTGAAAGTACCTCCCTGGGGCGGGAGGTGCCGGAATGGGCACAGATCCCACGCCAGCGCTGGGTGGCGGCAGGCCGGGACCCTTCCCCGGCTCGGCGGCACGGGACGAGCAGACTTACTTGACCACATGCTCCAGGATCTGCAGGCCGAAGTGCCGGACGATGGCCGTCTGCGTCTTCTCCGCCAGCTTCAGCCCGCAGGGCACGCAGATGGGGCACTTTTCCTTGAACTCCTCGCAGAACTAGGGGAGCGAGGGCCGGCACAGGTACACGCAGTTACACAGCGGGGCAGGAGGTGGCAGCCCCAGCCCTGCGGAGCACGCCGGGGGACACGCGGCCGCCCGACCCCCGCCGCCTGCTGACGGCTCCCAGCACCTCAGGGGACGCCCAGGACCGGCCCGCC